GCTATTACCAGAATCAACCGAGCAAATGAAAGCACGAGACGCGTTACATCTTTCACCAAAGATTGGCGATGAACCGTTAGTCATGGCTATACAGATATTACCACGACAAGATGAACTGCCATTACCATTTCCACACCGTGTACGAATCGGCACTTTAGGAAACATGGATTGGTTCCACTGAGGAGTGTTAGGATCAGACCAACTCCAACGAAAACCCGAGGTAGAAGAAGAATTCAAGCTTCTTCCTCCAATCCAACAACTGTTACTATTTCCAACGCATAGTTTCTGAACAAAGCTAAGTTCTTTATTCGATACAAGCGATGCTAAGTGACCACCATAGCTTCTACACAACATCTCTGACTTTTCCCATGTAGTGAAGTTTCTGAAGTAACCATAGCATTTAGTTTGGTTTGGTCCAATAAACCAATCAGGAAGACAAGAAACTGTACATAGAGAAATCAATGAATGTAAAATCAATGTCAGACTTGTTCCAAAGAAAACAAAGAAAACGATTTATCTGAATTTCACAAACCTCTGTGAGATCTATTCTTGAATTCAGTTGCATTCGTAGTTGATTCACTCGATATCTGAAAAAAAAAAAAACCATTTCAAAATTTGTCCTTTTATAGATCGAACAACTTTAACAAGATTCATGCTAGTTCAGAAACCCTAATTACTGAGAATGTTATTACACTTACAGTATCTGAGGACGCGAGGTAAAGCAGAGTAAGACAAGAAATCAAGAAGAGTGATTGTTTCCGACAAAGAACCCACTTTTTCAGCTCCATAGCTACAGCTTCATAAACCCTTTTAAGATTTCAACGAACTTGGTCTCGATTTGAAGAAATCAGAAACCAAGATTCATTGGCCGGAAAAAGAATCGGGAAACTGGAATTACCGGTTAAGTCATAACATCGGGAAGAAAAAAAAAGCAGACTTTATGATGTATGAAGAGTAATGAAAATTGGGGATTTCGTTGCTGATGAGGTTTTTGTGCTTTGTTGATTTGC